AATCATATAACTCTGCAGCGAATTCAACGCCTGATATTAAATTTATAATTAGTCATTAATTGAAATGATTATTTCTCATAAAAAGAAGGAACTTCACCAGTTGGACCTAAATAATCAGACCACATTAATATATTACGATTGGCATAATATTTCTCGACTAACATCCAAACACTAGTATATATTTACCGCCACCACAAACGACAAAACTTAAAAGCCGTTTTCTTTCTTCCGATGATGTCGTTGGTAAAGTAGCTTTTTCAAAATTGTCCATGATTTTTTTTCGTATTCCACGTGCATCTGCTATGCTTTTTAAGGTGTGGCAATGTTCAATGCCCTCTATTCCATGAGTCATTGGCTCAGAACCCACAGCTATTATAAGCTAACGAAAGAAATGGTGTCAGTTAGATGTGGAAAATATCATAAAGATCATAGAAACTTAATAAATACTTTATCATAAGGAATATAAAAGGCAGCATTCGGATCATTGTCAGGTGTTACTTCGACCAATTTGTCTTCAAAAACAATATCTGTAGCCTTGGCTTCTAAGTAATGTGCATCAACACCTTTAACAATGCTCCTAATAGGCTCTAGCAAAGATCTAATAATACATTTATTGTCATTATAAAGCTAATAAACCCGTGAAAAATGAAGAAATTTATAAACACCTATGCTCTAATGTACCAACGGTAGCCGATGGAAGCAGAGGTCTGAAATAAATTATTTGGGAATATGTTAATCTTATTATTTTATAATCTTGTATTGAAGAAAATATTATAAAACTTACGTGAAAAGGAAATAATTTCTGAAAATAAAGATATGCCCAAGTAAAACTTGCAATAAATAAAATATTTGATGTATATTGCTAGAAAATACAACTTACTGTGGAGAGACTATAGTGACATGATATTTTTGCTTATCTAATCCTTTGATAAGGGAAACAGCCTATAAAGAATTCCGCACATATTATTATTATTATTATTATTTAGCACGAAAAATATATTAGAAACTTACACCCCATCCTGAGCCAAGAATGACTAATCTTGGTCTTTTTGAGGCAACTTCATAATCTT